GCACTGGCCCTCCCGAGCTCGACGTCTCCGCCTGTCCCGCCACCCGCGCGTGTCCACCCGCCGCCTCCGCCGCCGCCCTGGCCCTGCCCGCACGGCTGGTGGCGAAGCGCTGCATCGCCTCGAGCAGCTCGCACTCCTCCTGTGCGAGCGGAGGCGAGGGGAGGGTGAGGCATAGTCGGTGCCGAGGGGCGGTGCAGCGACGAGGCGGTGCTGACGGCGATGAGGCTGGGTGTGCGCACCAGATCCTCTTCGTCCCCGTCCGCATGCCGGATGCGCCAGAGCGCGGGCTCGTCATCCGCGCCCGCCGGCAGAAATAGGCGCACAACGGCGTGGACGTAGCCGTGGCCCTTGAGGCGCCGCAGCACCCTCTCCCCAACGCGAGGCCCGTCGCTGAGCCAGTCCGACTCGACCGGAGAATGGCCAGATGTGGCAGCCTCGGGCACAGCAGGCGTAAGCTCGGACAGGTTGATGCGGACGCTGCCGCCGCTGTGTGCCTGGGCAGCTGCAGGCGCTGCCGCACTGATTACGGCTCTGCTGCTGTTTCGTCTGCTCGGCCACGCCCATCGGCAGACGTGCCCACGCTTTCTCGCGCCACAGTAGGGGCAGAGCGAACGGTCTGGATGCAGCCCGCTGCACTCGGCCTGGTGGCGAAAGGACGTCTTGGAGATGGGGAACATGGCCAGCAGGTGCAACGGGAGAGAGAGAGATTTTGTGCCGGCACACACAAAGTTGAACGAGCGCGGGCCGTGCCGTTGATGCTGCTCCAAGCAAGTGGCTTCAAGCCGCGGGCACAAAAGAATTCTAAAATCCAAGTCGCTCTCACAGCAGACTGGCACGAACTAGCACCACAAAAGGCACAGCAGACAACGGCCCCTTATGGGCCGTCGAAGAGGCCGTCATACTCCTCCGGCCTCGCCCCCCCTTCCCAACCCTCCCCTGGCTCAGGCTCCTCATCCTCGCGGCGCGCAGTGCGCTGTGCGCACCCCGCCCCGCGAAGACGAACCCTTCCGCCGGCGTGCCTCGCGGGACTGCCGCCCGCTGCCGCCGCCCTTCCCCCCCTCCGCCGCCCGCGCCTTCTCCGCCGCCCGCGCGGCCGCCTTCGCCTCCTCCGCCGCTAACAGCGCCTCCCTCCGCGTGACCCCAATGGGCCCCTTGCGCATCCAGGAGAGGTCGCGCGAGCGACCTATCCAGGGGTTACTCGGATACGGCGCAACGTAGCCGCTGCGCAGCTCCGAGTAGTCGCCAAAGCCCCCCCCCAAATAGCCCTCCAAGCAAGCATCGCAGACCCACTCGCCTAGCTGAGAGATCTCAGAACTCTCGCCGCGCCAGATCTCCTTCTCCGCCGCCTCCATCTCCCGCTCTCTCGACCAGCCCCCCAGCTCCGACCAGCCCTCACGCAACGCCCGGCGCCAGAGCCAAGGCTCCACGTCATACTCCTTGTAAAAGTTCTCAAAGCAATCCCGACACTCGAGGCCTGGGCCTCGAGCGTCCTCCGCGGAGACGGGGTTGTCCGTGCTCGCCCCAGCCCACTCCTCGAGCGTCGCCGCCACGAGCGCCCCGTAGACGGCGTCGACCGCCGCCTCCGCCAACGCCTCAGCAGCCGCCTCGCCCGCCTTAGAACCCGTGGCCTCATCTAAAAGATTGAAAGGGTGGGGCGCGCCGGCAGCGTCCGAGAGACCAGCGTCTCGGGCGGGGTAATGCCGGCAGGCCCCCAATATGGGGCACGTCCAGGTCCATCAGCAGCGAGCGAGGGCGGGCCGCCCTCCTCCCCCTCCGCCGGCGCCGCGCCGCCGGTGGAAACCTCCTCCACGGGGTTGGGCCGCTCAGCAGCCAAACCCGCCGCGGCGTCGGGCACCTTCTCGAGCCCCCCCCCGCGACCCCTGGCGCCACGGCCGCGCCGCCCTCGGCGGCGCCGCGGCGCCTTCCGCCCGCCCTCGACCTCCTCCTCCCCCCCCGCGGCGGCAATCGTCCCATCGCCGCTCTCCGGCAGCGCGGGCTCCAAGGGGTCCAAACTGGATCCCTCGGTCCCACCTCCGGACCCACCTTCAGCGGCCTGCGCGTCGCAGGCACCGCCGTCCGCCTCTTCGGGGCGCGCGCCGCCGCGGCCCTCGCCGCCAGCCGCTGCCCCGCCACCAGCCGCCTGATCGCCAGCCGCCACCCCAGCCGGGGTGTCGCCCAGCGACAAGCCGCTGAGGGATGCCAAGACCGCAGCTGCGTCCCCCCAGCCCCGCCGGCCGAGAAGAGCTTGGCGGAGCTTCTCCGCCTGGCGGTCGTGGATGTCGAGCGAGCCGATGCCCTTCTCAGCGACCTCGTCGAGGAGGTCGCCAGCGTCGCCAACGCCCAGCTCCGCGAGCCGCCCCTCATACCTGCGGTAGAGGCTGTCGGCGACACGCGCGCGCTTGAACAAAGCCGCGAGCGGCTCTCCCAGGTCGATGGCGGGCGAGGCCGCCATCGAAGGCCTGGTGCCCGGCCGCGTGGCCCCCGGGCTGCGGGTGGGTGCTCGCTGTGGCGGCCGCCGAGAGGGCAGAGAGCGGCGGCAGGCCGCCGACGGCGTCTTTTCAAAGAAAAAAAAGACCAAACACAAAAACTCGCGCGCGCGTGAACAGGGCTCCAGGCCCCAAATTACGTGTGAGTGTTAGAGTTGTTTGGTATTGCTAAAAATCAAAAGAATTTACTTATTAAGGGCGCGCGTACCGAGGACAGTGCGAGTGGGGGGGCTTTGGTCGATCGGACGCGTGTAGTGCCAGTGCGCGCCAGTCCCGTGCCCAGTGTTGTGCGAGGGAGTTTTGTTGTAAAATTATTTTTCTCCCCCTTTCCACCCCGCCGCGAAGTAGAGGGGGGAGGGCGACACCCCCAGCTCGTTTTGTCCATACCGCCGCGCCGCCGCTCGCGCCGCTCCTCCACCACCGCCGCCCCCTCGCCAGACACGCCGCCGCCCGCCCGCCTCCTCGACCTCCCCAGGGAGCTCCTCGAGCGCGTCCTCTCCCGCTTCGACAGCCCCCTCGACATCGCTCGCGTTGCGGCCGTCTCGCTGCTCTTTCACTCCTCGCTCGCGGAGCAGGGCATCCGCTTGTGGGCGCAAGAGCGCGGCTTCGAGCTGCCGGCGCAGCCCGAGGGCGAGAGCTGCGCCGTGCGGTGGGTGTGCTATTCCGCGCTGCTGCGCGAGTCCAACCCGCCGGCGAGGGCGGCGGGAGGCGAAACGCACAGCGTCTTCATCGACGGCGAGGGGCGGCTCTCGTCGTGCGGCTCTGCGCCGTGGTTCAGCCCAGGGCTACTCGGCCACGGCGAGGGCGTGACGCGGCTCAACATGCCGACTCGCCTCCCCTCCACGCTGGGCGACGAGCGCGCCGTGAGCGTGTCGGCGGGAGGCAACCACAGCCTCGCCCTGACCGCCGACGGCGCCGTCTGGAGCTGGGGCTTTGGAGTCCTTGCGGGCCACGGCGACAGACAGGACCAGCTGCTGCCAAAGAAAGTCGAGGCCTTGGCGGGGCAGCGCGTCGCCGCTGTTGCGGCCGGAGTGGGCCATAGCCTCGCCCTCACCGCCGACGGCGCTGTCTGGAGCTGGGGCGAAGGAGGTGGGGGCAAGCTGGGCCACGGCGACCAGCAAGAGCAGTTGCTGCCCAAGAAGGTCGAGGCCTTCGCTGGCCAGCGCGTCGTCGCTGTGTCGGCTGGATACAGCCACAGCCTCGCCATCGCCGCCGACGGCGCCGTCTGGAGCTGGGGCTATGGAGCCTTCGGCAAGCTGGGCCACGGCGACGAGCAGCAGCAGCTGCTGCCCAAGAAGGTCGAGGCCTTGGCTGGCCAGCGCATCGTCGCTGTGTCGGCTGGAGGATACCACAGCCTCGCCATCACCGCCGACGGCGCCGTCTGGAGCTGGGGCTGTGGTTTGGACGGCCGGTTGGGCCACGGCGACCAGCAGAACCAGCTGCTGCCCAAGAAGGTCGAGGCTTCGGTTGGCCAGCGCGTCGTCGCCGTGTCGGCTGGAACCGCTGTCAGCCTCGCCATCACCGCCGATGGCGCCGTCTGGAGCTGGGGCGAGGGAGCCGCAGGCAAGCTGGGCCACGGCGACGAGCAGAACCAACTGCTGCCCAAGAAGATCGAGGCCTTTGGTGGCCAGCGCGTCGTCGCTGTGTCTGCTGGATACAACTACAGCCTCTCCATCACGGCCGACGGCGCCGTCTTTACCTGGGGCAAGGGCGAGGACGGCTGCCTAGGTCACGGGGAGGACCTGTCGAACCAGCTGCTGCCCAAGGCAGCCGGTCGGACGCTCTGAGAGTAAAAAAAATTGTGTTTCGAGTACCATAGCAATGTACCACGTACGGCTCTAGAATACAACAGTAGCGAGTACAAAAAGCGAAAAGTGACCCTTCCCCTCTCACTCTACTACCCACACGCCGCCTCACACCGCTCACACCGCCACCGGCACGTGCACGCCGCCTCACCCCGGCCACCCAAGCCGGCTCGCAACCTGTGCATGTGCATATTATGGCGGGGTTGGCTTACCGCCCACCAACCAACTTCTAGCGCGTGCGAGGAAGGGCTCGCTACGACGTGGACAAAAAACCATCGCAGATTGAACACCGGGCACGGGAGACGGAGTCTCGGAGAGAGCGGGACTGGCGCGCACTCGCAGTCTCGCACGACGACGAACACAGGTAGGTACACCACGAAAGAATTTTACAACAAAACTCTCTCGCACGACACTGGGCACGGGACTGGCGCGCACTGGCACTAACACAGCTTGCACCACACGAAAGAAACCCAAAGCGCGCGCACAGAGGGTGATGTGTGATGTGCAGAGCCAGGAGCTAGCACGGCCGCAACCACATGCGCCACCAAGTTACACATAGAGAACAGTCGCAAGGGACAATCTAGCCTCCCGGGGTGATTGCATTGAACTAAGAGCGAGCGAAGGAGGAGGGGGAGCCGGCGGTGACCAGAGCGATGAGAGGCCCCTACGGCTAGCCCTGCACCTGGAGGATGACGGGTCCGGCCGTGCGTCACTCGCAAGAAGGGTCCACCTCCGCGATAGGGGCGCCCTGCGCATCGGCGGCTTGGATCACTACGGCGCAGTGCTCCATCAACATTTCGAGCCGGTTGCGCATTTTCTTGATCTTGGCCTGGGGGGACGCGTGCTCGCCACCAACCATGTCGTCGTCAGGCGACGCTTCGTCTTGGAAGCAGAAGCATCCGCGCGAATCCGGCGGCAGACTCGAGAAGAGCACGCTGCGGGTTCCGTGAGAGTTGTACTTGTACTCACAGTAGCAGGTCGAGCCTTCCGCGCAGCCAGTTGGGTGGTTGTCACCGCACTACACTGGCGGCGGGGGTGCTGGAGGATCGGGAGGCGACGGCGGCGACGGCAGCGCCGGCGGAGTCGGAGGCGATGGCGGCGGCTGCGGTGGGTACGGCGGGAAGGCCGGGCCTCCAGCACCGCCGCACGGCTTGCGCTTCTTATCCGGGCACGACGGGTTATGCTCGGGCTTGCGCATGCTCGGCTCCTCGCGAACAAAGTAGGTCGAGTCGGACGAAAACTGCGTCGAGCCTTTGTTGAGCCCCCCCGAACAGCCTGCTCCGTCCAGATCCACAAAGTGGGCGTCGGCATCCTTGGACTCGCAGGCGGAGCGCGACCAGTTGTAAAAGGCTGTGGCGCGAGGGGCACGGCCGGCGAGGTAAGAGCGGATATGGCTTGGCAGGGGCGGGACTGCGGCAACCTACGCGTGTGGGGGCTCACCGTGCGTGTCGTTGATGATGGTGAGGAACCCAACACCGAAAGACGACTCGCGCACCTTTGACCACGGCGGCGGCTGGATCCACTGCGTGCTGGCGCCCTCGTAGTTGCCACCGTCGCCGATGACAACGTAGTTGGGCGCGCATTCGTTCAGGCAAGCGTTGTACACGGGCACCGACCGCTCGTAGGCATGGACGTGGCCGTTGATCACGATGTCGACGCCCGCATCGTAGAGCAGCTCCTCCATGTCGAGACGCATGGGCTCGGCCTCGCCCTGGTGCTTTTTGTTCGAGTTGTACCTTGTTCGAGTTGCACCTTGGGGCGGGGCGGTGGGTGTAGTGGGGCAGGGTGCGGGGGCGGTGCAACAACGCGCTCGCAGTGAAAATTGGCGATGAGCCATGGCGTTTTGTTGCGGTTGACCGACGCCAAATCCGCGACGAGCCAGTCGTACTGGAAGGAGCCGTTGAAGGTGGCCGCATACGAGCAGAGATTGACGACGTGCATCGGGCCCACCTCCTTGGAGTACCAGAGCTGTGAGGTCGAGCCCGACGAGATCGCGCGGCGCGGCCCGGGGCGAGGTGGATGGGTTGGGAGCAAGGGGGCGGAAGTGGCCAGTGCGGTAGATCGGTCAGTCGGGGCGCAAGAGGTGGCCTGTGAGCCATCCGGCTTGCATTTACTCTGCGTTGTTGAGCCAGGACTCAACATACTCGTTCTGTTGCCGACTTGCCGTCCCAAACTGTCACTCCCCTTTCTCCCGGCCGGGTGGGGCGCGCGCGGGGGCGGCGGGTGTGCGGCGAGTGTGCGGGATGTCTGTGGGCCCGAGAGCGTATGCCATGTCCGCCTTGCGTTGTTTCATAACATCGAAGGCTGATATCACAAAAAAAGCAGAGAGCTATATCGACGGATCCCTCTCAAATGCTGGCGTCACTGTCGCGCACCGCTTCTACGCGTGGTTGCGGACTCCGCTTGGCGCGTGCGGCGAGTTTCGCAGCCAAAAGTCCGGAGGAGTGGCCCGTGGCGTGGGTGGGCGCGCTCAACTCCTGCGACATTGCCGCGATGGACGCGCTCTGCCAGCCACCCTTCACGTTCGTGGTGGCAGGAAAGAAAATGGAGCTCGACTCGATGGGGTCACTCCTCAACTTTGACAAGATGAAGGAGATGGGCTGGCGCAAAACCACCATCCAAGATGTCGCGGTGATGCACGGCGACGAGTCGCAGGTGCATGTCAGCGCGATTCTGGAGCGCCACATGGCCGATGGTGCGATTGAGGAGACGTGCTCCGTCTTCTTCCTTACCAAGGTGGACGAGCACTACAGGCTTATGGTCGGTGGGAATGCCACGGCAGGCGGCAGCACCCTCGTCGGCGCCATTTCCGGGAAATGACCATTCGCGGCGTCCGACGGCGCACGGCAGCGCTGGATGCGTGCTAGGCCACGGCGACCCCACGGTCCCACGCCGCTGCCCCGTTGGGCTGAGACGGCCACACCCGCTTCGTCGCCCCTGTACATAGCAATGATTCACGTAGCCCATACGTGTGGCCTGTACTCTGTACCCGGCGGGGGTAGTCGAGCCGCGGTCCGTTGTGCCGCCGGCGCGCCCCCACACCCGCGCTGCGCCGCGGTCGCCGCGACGCGCGGGTTCGCTCTTTTTTATGCTTCCCGTACGTTTCTACGTGTATCATGCACCGAACTAAAGCTATGGAGGCGTTTAAGCGGACAGGTGAAAGACAAACGTTGAAACGAGCTAGAGATTCTCCGGGGCGGGGCGCCGGGGCGCGGGGGGCGGGGGGCATGTTGCGTGGCTAGAGCCCACTGCAACCACCAACCAGTGCTGACAAGTGCAAGCTGTGTGTGCTACCTTTTGGGCACCGCGCACCCCCTGGTGTAGATCCTACCCTTCGACGTGAGCGAGCCGTACCGCATCGCAGCCACCTGGCTCGACACGGGCTGGCGGAATGTCTTGCTGGTCCATCGCATGTCGCCGCTGATGGGGGTGCTCGTCGTCTGCGGGTAGTCCATGGTGTTGGGCTGCTCAAAGGCGATGAGCCCACGGGCGCCGACGAGGCCCGTGTACGGGTAGACCGCGCGCACAGAGTCGCGGTACGTGACCATAATGTCGCTCGCCGCACGCGTCCGGTTGTAGCACTCTTGCAGCAGCTCGGGGCCGGTAAGCAGCAGAGGCCGCTTACGGGAGACGAACCGGTGCCGCACGTTGTCGACAATCGACTCGACCATGCAGCGGGCCAACGGGTGCGACGGGACGCTCGCGAGAAGCTTCATCTGCTTCCGCTCAGACTGTCTGGCTGCCGCAGGGATGTCGTACCCGATGGACGCACCGTCACACGTGTTGACGATGCTACCGATGGGCTCGAGCAGCACGATGTCGGTGTCAACATACACGCCGCCCTCGGCGTACATCGCACAGAAGCGGAAGAGGTCGGCCCGGTACGCGGGGGCGACGAAACAGCGGTACGCCTGACCGGCCTCCTCTCCGCAGTGCTCGGACACGTACGCGGCCGCAGACTTGTCGTCATGGTACCGCACCTCAAAGCCGCGGAGGTGGACGGCGGCATTCATGTCCACGTTCGGTGGACGAGCGGCGCCCTTGCCAACCGCATGGTAGAGCCGCGGCACGCCCTGCGTCAGGTTGGCCGGGCAGCTGGGAGGCGTGGCCAGCGGCTGGGACACGTACTCGGCACAGAGCTCCTCGTCGAAGCCGTAGAGGAAGGGGCTCTGGACCAGCTGACACGGCCTCGCCCGCGCCCGGCGTAGAGCCGAGTAGGCGTAACGGACTCTTCGCGAAGGCTTGGACCGCAGAGCAACCGCAGGGAGTTGGCCGCGCGGAACGGCTGGCTCCTTGGTGGGCTGCCGCCGCTTGCCGTAAAAGGCACAGCAATGCGGGCCGCACATCGGAAGTCCGCAGGGCACCGCATGCTGACACTCCGCCGGGCACTGCGCCGCGGCGCCGCATAATGCCGCGACGGCGAGGGCAACGCGTCGGCTGTAAGGAACGTGCCCCATACCTGTGTGCCCGTCGATTTGCCCTTTTCCGGCGCCTTGGCCTCGCGTCATTCACGGTTCTGCTTGTTCCACACTTTGCGCACAAGAGCACAGTCGCTGGCCTGGTAGGTAGGGTGTCTTCACCTCGCTCGTGTCTAACTCTTTTGTAAATGCGCGTTCCTTTTCATCTGTTATTCACCTATAATCCTTGCTTGTTTGTCGTCTTCCACAAGCAGTCTTCCAGCTCCGACCGGGGGGGGGGGGGGTTCTTCGAGAGGTTGTGGGTTGCGCCGCTTTGGCCTTTGCAGAGAATCAACAACCAACAAAAAGACTCCAAACGCACTTGCTTGACTGGCGCGAGATGTAGAGTGCATATGCCGAGCCGACACGCTGCCGCACACACAGACACGCACGAGAGAGAGAGAGAGAGAGAGAGAGAGAGAGAGAGAGAGAGAGAGAGAGAGAGAGAGAGAGAGAGAGAGAGAGAGAGAGAGAGAGAGAGAGAGAGAGCCTGAACCTAGGGCTATGGCGGCAAGCGTCATGGACAACGAGGGACACGTATTCCTTGGTATCTTGGTTAGGCGCGTAACGCACCCGCCTCCTTTTGGAAAATCGACGGGCTCGGCGTCAAAATAATGTTGCCAAAGTGGCGGCGTCGCCGTACTTGTCGGGCAGAGGACCGGACCGTGCTCTGGTTTGATCGACAACGCTGGCGATGCACCAGATGCTGTCGCTGCTCCTCGCGCTGCTCCCCCTCGCCCTCGCCACTTCCGAAGCATTCCCAACGCCAACTCCGCCAGTGCTGGCCAGGCGCCTGTCCGAGGCACCGACCGCAGAGCCGCCGCTCGAGCCTCCTGCCGCTCCTCCCTCTGATCCTGATCCTCCCGCCGAGCCTCCCGCCGCCCCCCCATCCCTCCCTCCCGCCGTCCCCGAGCCGCCCATGGCGCCAGGGGATGTCCGGGTTCCCGCTGTCGAATTCACCTTTGAGTTCGGCGATGACGTGTGCTCGGGGTCAGCGCAGCTTCCCGCCGGCTGCCCCGAGAATCGCCGACGGCAGCTGTCTGAGTTTACGGACCAGGTTATGACGGCGCTGATTGCGTCCTACGCCGACCTCGACCCCCCTCTCACCGTCATGGAAGAGCAGATCAACCTCGAGGAGTCTTTCAATCCGCACGAGGTGAAGGTAGTCATCTCGCAGCTCGAGGGGGGGCCGACCGCGGAGGAGCTCGCCGGCGCTGCTAACACACAAAGCTTCACTGACAGCATGGCCGCGGAGATGGGTGAGCCTGTTGCCCTCGCCACCGCCACCGGATATCCAACCCATTACTGACCAACCTCCCCCCCCGCCGCCGGGTGGCGGTGGGGGGGGCGCTGGCGCCGCCATCGCCGTCGTCGCGCTGCTGTTACTCCTTCTCCTCCTCCTCTGCTGCTGCGGATGGTACTGGCGGTCAAGCCTCCACCTCGGCCACGCCGCTGCCCGCGGTGACACGTGGCTGCGCGTCGACGTGCGCGGGACTCGCAGCTTCGTTGCTCCTGGCATGGTCCTCGAGCTCGGGGGGCAGTGCCTCACGGTCGTCCGCGTCCAAGTCACGCCCGGGCGGAACGCCTTCAGCCGGCTGCTGCGCCGCTTCAGCCGCAGCCCCGACCCTGTCTCCGACATGCTGCTGGAGGTCACCCCCAGCATCGTAAAGAACCAGCCCGTTGGCCTCCGCGTGCAGCGCCCCTCGGCCCTCCGCGGGCTCCGCCGGCCGCGGACCCAGCCTGGCACGTGGACACTGCGGTTTGTCACACCGCGGCACGCGGTTCAGTCGTTCTCCATCGACGGCCCCGAAGAGCCCGGGTTGAACGAGCTTGCGTCCAACGAGCCCGCGTCCTACGAGCCCACGCCCACAGGCCCGGCGGCTTGAACTCTCTGGCGCGCCGTGAACAACTCCCCAGGCGAGTTCCGGCCCGCCAAGACTTTTATATCCGCGCACCCCCGATATCCGCGCACCGGGCCCGCTGTAGAGCCGTAGAGATCCACCTCCGTTTAGGCAGATACGAGACAGATTCAACCATCAACGACCCCCGACCCTTTGACTGGCACGAGGTAGATGTGAAGCCACGACGGGTCGTACAGCAGGCCGAACAGAGAGTGCAGAGTGAGCACTGCCCCTCTCCATGTCTCCAAGATCGACTCCTGTGGAGAAGCCCGCCTAGAGGTAGGTAGGACCATCAAGGGGAGACCAGGTACACTTGACCCGCGCAAAGAGCTAGATGCAGCCGTCACCATTCTACGGCCTCAGAGCGTATGCCTTGCCGCCGGACGGTGGCGGTCGTGTCGGTGGTTGGGCCGTTTTGCACGACGATATCGCACGACAGTGACTTCGCAGCTCACACAGACGAAAGGTGCATGAACATGTACATGTGCCTCACAAACAGCACGATTCTGAAGTTGGGCCCTCGGGCTAGCGTCTCGTGATCTCCCCCCATCCCCAGGGCCTCCACTCAACCTCTCACAGACCAGCGCATAGCGCCATACTCGAGTAGGACGTATTTTCTTCTCATAACAAGGCTGTGAAGAGACGCCACCGTGTGAAGTCTGAGCTTGTGCGTCTTGGGTCCGGGGCTGTGTTTTTGAGAGTTGATTTGTGTTCATGCACATTTGTGTTTTGTGTGAAGCTGACGATCCCGGGTTTGCTCGTCGATCATCGGGAAGCTCCCAGGGTTTGCTCGAGCCCAAGGGTTCTCATGGGTGGCCTCTTCACCAAGATAGGCAAGTCAGCTGCGGGGGAGTACGAGGGCGAGTGGAACGCGGCGGGGGTTCGCGAGGGGCGCGGCGTCATGCGTTACGTCAACGGCAACGTTTACGACGGCGAGTGGAAGGCGGGTAATCCGTGGGGGCGCGGCGTCTTGCGGTACGCCAACGGCGACGTCTATGACGGCGAGTTTAAGGCGGGTTTGCGGGAGGGGCGCGGCGTCATGCGGCTCGCCGACGGCACCAACGGCCAAGGCTACGAGGGCGAGTGGAATGCGGGTTTGCCGGAGGGGCACGGCGTCATGCGGCTCAAAAACGGCAACGTCTACGACGGCGAATGGAAGGCGGGTAAGCAGGAGGGGCGCGGCGTCTACCGGTGGGCCGACGGCGACGTGGCGTCGGGCTTCTTCAAGGTAAGGAAAGAGGGCGACGGCCCCGTCGGCGAGGCTGTCAAGTGGCTGGCGGACGGGCGGCAGGCGGCGCGGCTGCGTGGCTGGAAGGTTGTGGAGGAGATCTCGCTGGAGGAGGCGCGGCGTACCGCCGAGCGGCTCGGGCTCGCCCTCCCCTCCCCGCTGCCCGGCGCGGCGTGAGAGGCCCAGCACTCTTAAGCGAGAGCACCCCTGGAGCACATGTTCTCCGTGCGAGACCGAGCCGCGACCTATATCATTTTGAGTCGGCGGCGGCGGGGGAGGCTGCCGTCCCCCCTCCTATTCCTTCCCCGGGCCGGAGGTGGTTGGTGGTTGTGTGCGCGACGGACACACGCGGCGCGCGCAGCACGCACGCACGCACACGCATGAGCAATAGGCCCTCACGTATTATATAAACGCATCCATGAGCCGGCACATATTCTTTTCCGTACACGCATGAGATCGGGGCTGAAACCATGTGGATACCCCTAATGGGTTTACTAATGCTGTGTACGTACCGTATGATTTGTATGTAAAGCGAGGGAGACGAACAGCTTGCGCTAGGGTCCGGAGCGGGCGAGCCGCTGCTGGATGGGCTGCGGCTGCGTCTACGCATGCGCAGGGGCAGAATTGCCAGCGCGAGAAAAGTAGCCTCGATCTCGCCGAGAGGCGATGATCGACCGCCCTGCGCCGTTCATTGCGGAGGCGCCCTCACGCGCCAGCCAAAGGGGGTAGAGAGGCTCTCCAGGTCTCCTCCCTCGTCACACCATTGCGCGGACTCCAGAGGTCAGCGGGACGGTGTCGCCCTCCTTCGGCTGCTGCGGCGGCGACGGCGCCTCGAAACTCGGCGCCGGCAGCGCGACCTCCTCTCCCGGCGGCCGGAGGCTGTACAGCTCCTCGAACTTGAGCTTGCCGCCGTCAAAGACTCGGTGCGGGTCGTACTCGGCACGGAGGCGGCGCAGCTCTGCGCGCTGGCCCGCGGAGAGCACCTCGCGGAAGATGCGGTGCGGGTGGTACGCCTGAGGAAGGCCAAGTCAGATCAGCTTCTCCACACACACACACACACACACATCGGTGGTGGGGCAACGGCCAAGCGACCCTCGCGACTCCACGTCTAGACGACAGGAGCCCCACGGCATCAAAGGTGCAAGGCCCAGTGCGCGTGGGTGAGCAGTCCCCGCATCCCCCTCCCTCCTAGCCACCCCCCGCACACACGCAACGCCTTGCCGGGGTGGCCCCATATCTCCCCATATCTCCCCATATCTCCCCATATCTCGCCTTGCCGGGGTGTCGGTAGAGGCGCAGGCCAGCCTCCTCCAGCTCGTCGAGCATCGCCTAACCTCGACGTCGCCTCGACGTCCTCTCGGGCGTATCTCGACTTCCCGCCTGCTCATCACTGCTGCTGCTGCCGCCGCCGCCGCTGCTGCTGCTGCTGGCTGCTGCTGCTGCTGCTGCTGGCTGCTGCTGCTGCTGCTGCTACTGCTGCTGCTGCTGCTGCTGCTGCTGCTACTACAATATACTACTACACACACACAGTGGTTCTTAATTGCGTTCTGAACTGCGCCTCGCCTGCAGCCATGTCTCGTGCGCGCGCGAGAACCAGAGCACACTCTTGATGTACCCGAACTCGACGCAGATCGCGTCGCCGTCGCAGTTGGGCGCCATCAGCCCGCCGCCGCGCGGAACAAACCGCACGCCGATGCAAAACGGCGGCGCCTGCTCGACCCGAGGCAGTGTCGGCTCAGGACTGCTCGACGAAGAGATGG